AGGGCAGCTGGGAGGCACGATGAGAGGGAAACAGCAGCAATGCATGCTGGCATGCTGGGCTGAGCTGCATCCAGCAACTGCAGGAGAGAAAATGGGGGCATGTCAGCAGCAGTGCCACCAGATCCTCGGTGTTAGTAGGAGGAAACTGAAGCTCTATTTCCACTGGACGCAGGCAGATGACTGGAAAAATGTTTCTCTGTTTACAGGAATCTGAAACCGTGTAATTCTCCTCTGCTTTCCCTCCCCTGTGCCTTCACTCTCCCCTCTGCTGCCAGCCAATTGCTAGCAAATGCACTTGCAAAGGAAAGTTTATTTTGACTCAAAACCTCTGCAATTTAATAAGAAAAACAATTTAGGAACAATAGTAACTGCAGCAGCATGATAAACAAAACGTTTGGGCAAAGTGCCCTGAAATCAGAGGTGCTGCTCTCCGTGGTACAGAAGGAGAGGAGCAGCACCAGTGCCTGCAATGCATCATCAGGAGACTGAGCTCAGCTCCACCTGTCCCCAGTGGCACAGGAAAGCTCAGGTGGCTGAAGGGTGTCCTGTACCCTGTGAAGGTCTCAGCCTGGTCCTGAAATACAGCTGGTTTATAGACAGGATCATGAGTGCTGTGTCCCTGCTCCTGCTGCGTGGGTTGCCATGCAGTGTTACTGCTGGTGTTTGCAGTGCTCTGTGCCCTTCCTGCGGTGAACAGATGTTATCAGATGAAAATTCACAGGGAATAAAGCCTGATTCAAGAAAAATTCAGATAGTGCAGAAGAAAAAAAAAAATAGGCCTCTCTTTGTCTTTACAGATTAATTTCCAGGGCACTGTGCACTCTTGCTTTCTTGGGCTGGGCTCTTGCTTCCTTTCTCCATTTCTTGGCTTCTTTTCTGGAGACATAGCTGCATCTCCACTCCGATAAAGGAGATCTCCTAAAACCACCATATAAACCAGAAGCGCTTATCCTCTTTCTGCAGCTGTAAATCTCTCAACGTTCAGAGATGGGGATAGAAATGGTCAGGGAAACAGGAGGGGACATTTGGAGAGATCTCTTGTGAACCTGCAGTGCTGCCCGTTGGCTCACCCTGCTTTGGGCAGGAGCTGCATGCACAGCCTTCAGAGATTCAGCAGGCATTTTCTCCAAATCACCAATGCTCAGTAATTGAAATGAAAGCCTTCAGCTTGCTCCCCCTCTGCAACGTGGATTATCTACGTGATTACTTTCCAGTCTTGCAACATGCAGGTCATCATTGTTTAACAGATCAATGCAAACATGGGGCTATCTGCACTGTTAGATGATTTGTTTCCTGTTTTGCCTCATGCACTGCTTGTTTGCTTTTCTGGAACCCATTGTGACTTATTTTGTAGGCCAGCACTGAGCTAAGGGGCTGTGCTAGCTGCTCATTGCCAGAGAGGCTCTAGCACCCAGCTGCAAGGGAACACAGGAAGGACAAAAAGCCCCAAACAGCTTAATAGGAATTTTCCTTCCTCAGACTTCCCTTATTTCAAATTCATCCCTGTTTAATCTTTACTGTTAATTGGGGATCATGTGTGTTTGAATACCACAGATGCATTATTTAGCAGCAGAAAATTCTGGCAGGTCTGAGAATACCCTGAAATCCTGAGTGAAGCAGGTACCTTCTGAATTATTCACCACTTGGATAGACAGCAATCACTGCTGCCACTGCAGCAAGTTTATTATTTTTAAACATTTCCTGATATGTGTACATGTGTGACTTTTTAATGTTTTTTTTCCCCTGTGCTCAGCAATGACTCAAACTTTTCCAGGTGTGAATATTGCCTGAGCCCCCTCCTCCCTTTACTTGATCACTTGCTCAGGAAGAACAGTTGATTTTCACGTAATAGTTTGTTGCCATTCAACGTCAGCAGTTCTTTTTGTTGGGTCACACAAGGCACGAACACAGAGGTGCTTCTTCCAACAGACAAGCAAGATGGAGTTGCCCTTTTTCTCACCAATTTTGTATTTAGAGGCCCAGGTGTTGCAAGATTTCTTCTACAATGTTTTCTTTCCTCTTTCCCTTTAAATCTTGTAAATAGGCTCCTCTGCTCCTTGGGTAATTGCAGTTATTTTTGGAGTACTGAATTCGCGTTGAAGCAGAAAGTATTTATTGCAAAAGGCAATGTAAAGATGTACCTGCATTAATGTGAACACCACTGGGCTGCATCCCATGGATGTCTTCTGTTCTTGTGGCCAAAATCCACTTCATACGGCCCTTCCTGGAGCATAGCTCCTGGGGAAGTAAGTGCCATTTGAGCAGTGTATCACAGAGCCTGGGGGGTGACGGGAGATGCTCCTGCCAGGGAGAACATGGCTCTTCCTAAAGGATCGGGGTCTCTTTAATCCCCACAACAGCCTGATCTCCCCTCCAAGCCCTGCAATGGAAACTATACTTTTGTGTAGACACATTCCTCCATAATCTCTCCTCTTCATTTTTCGTGGCTTTCAAAAAGTGAATCTGACAGTGGGAAGAGCTGCTGTTGTGATAGCTCTGTTGACTGAACTCTTTGGGGAAAAGAAACACCCTATTGTTACTAGAGAAGAGCTGAGGGAGCACTGTCTGCGTTGAGTTGGATCAGTCTGGGTGCAGGCATGCTGAACCAGGGCTGGGCCTCTTGTCCTGCAGCATGTGGTCCCACGAGCTGTTCTCCTGGGAAGTCAGCTGTGGATAACAGACGCCTTATCAGAATTGCTACAGCCTCTGGAGTGCTTCTACAGTTTTAGCTGAAGTTTTGAGAGAAGTGCTTTTAAGATAACTTCCTCATCTGAACTTTTTCCAGGAAATCATAGAATAACTTAGATTGGAAGGGACCTCTGGAGGTCACCTCATCCAATGTGCTGTTCAAAGCAAGGTCAGCTTCTAAGTTGGATCAGTTTACTCAGGACCTTGCCTGGTTGAGCTTTGAATACCTCCAAGCATATAGGTGGAATGGGTGCTCCAGGCAGTGCAGACACTCACAATTTATTTTCTGATATCCAGTCAGAATTGTCCTTATGTCACTTATGGCTGTTTCCTCTTATCTACTGCCTGTCCAACTCTGAGAGCAGCCAGACTCCGTATTCTTATTCTCTTTGGTTTGTGGAAGACTGCAATCAGCCCTCCCCAGACATTTCTCTTGAATGCTAAAAATTCTCTTGGTTCTCACATCCTGGGCTTGCATGTTGCATGTACTGCCCCAGTGCCTCTGTACCAATCTCGTCCCCTCTGTACTCAGAACTCCCTCTCAGCACTTGGCCAAGACCCATAGGAGCTATGAGAGGGGCATGGCTCCTTACATTGTCCATCTGGCTTTGCTCTTGCCAACAAAACCCAGTAAATGGTTAATCTTCATTGCTGTGAGGGCGCATGGCTAATTTGTGTCTTACTTGATATCCATCAGCATGTAGCATAGCCAAGCAGACCCCAGCCTACCCAAAATAACTCCTTGCTGGTGCCAGGCTGGTCACGGGAACAGTGTGATGTGATACTGGATTTGAGGTTGTATGGCCAATGTGTCCTGGAAGTTTGTATTTAAGGGTTCAGCTACAAAGGTTCATGTGACAGCTGCATCATGTGGTAAGACCAAGAGGTTTTCTCCACTGCCTGTGAAGATTGTAGGTAGGTGAAGTTATTGGAAGAGGAATGGGAATAAAAACTTGGCAGAAATGCTGTTGTGGTTGCTGCTGTGTCAGGCTGAGAGGTTGCCGTCCCCTTTGATTTGCCAGTGTAACTGCACGTGTAATTGCTTCCTATCCTGGTTCTGTCAAAATATTTGGGGTTAGTTTAAATACAGGGAGGGAGATGATGTTTGTGGAAAGGATAGGGAGACAACAAACAGACTGAAGGCAGCCTGAGGATGATAACCTCTCTGCTGCTGTAGGCATGAAAAATGACAATATTTTGGCAGTGACATTTCTGATGTGTTTTCACTGCTGCAGTGGGATAGACGTGGGGCTCCACAAAGTCCAAGCGATGGGTGAGCAGCACCCAGAGCCTCCAAGGCAGCACCTGGGGGGGCTCTGTGAAAGAGAGACTGAAGTCCTGGAGAGCACCGACCCACAGATCTACTGGACCCCTATGAAATAGGGCAGCACTGAGAAGCAGAGTACAGGGCACCAGTGATGTAACGAGAGGGCTCTTATGCATCCCAGGTATTCACAGGGTCCACTCCTTTCCACGTGGAGGGTTTGAAGAGGCTATTCAAAAGCACAGATGGTGGGGGAAGCCAAGTCCCAGTGTTTTTTTTGAAGGGCACACAGTTCCCTTGGGCGTCTTTGAAAAATCCGGTTAATTAAATTAGGCTTGCAAGTGAGAGTTGAGTGGAATGAAAGACTGTTGTGGCTGGACGGGTATACTGTTCAATTGCACAGAAAATGGGCATTTGTTTTGATTTTTGCATGCACACTTGGTGTGGAAGGTTTGTGTGTGTGTGTCTGAAATGTCAGCATCCGATCTCTATTGGTCTGCAGCTTGTACTGGGATTGCAGTGTATTTTGGGATGTGATGCTGCGAATAGAACGTGGCTCAGGGCAGTGTTTTATGTAAGGTAGCACTCTGCACTATTTTTAAATTTTTATGATATGGCAGGCTTGCTCTTGTATTCTAATAAAATGAGACATGTTCTTCCTTTTCCACAACAGCAGCAAAATCTAGTCTAGGGCTGCCCTGCTCAACAGCTTGCAGCAGGATTATAAAAAAGGGTTTATTCTGGGGCTAGATATAAATGTTATACGTGGGTGACTGCTGGACAGGATTGTTGTAAGGGTCACATCCAGTATGCAGAGCACCCTTTGCACAAACTGCTTCTAGAGATGTTGGCTGTGAAGTACATAGGGCTCTTATTTTTACCTTTAAAAAAAAAAAATATTAAATTTCACAAAGTTGTACATGTGGCTTTACCTGCCTCTTGGGAGAAAGGTTGGAATGGCCTGGAGCCTGGCACTGTGGCGAAAATGCACTGTGTATGGCAGGTTGTGTGTCTGTAGCTCAGTATGCTCTTTCCTTTCACCTTGCAGCACCCACTGGGTATTTCCTGAAGAAAAGCCTGGATTTATCTGCCTGACAGCAATGAATGCACAGAGAGATGCATGGTGACAGCTCTCTGCCTTCATGTCCCCACTGCTGGTGTCCTCCTTGTCCCACATGGGCCACAGAGCAGGTTTCCTGCTCTCCCAGTGTGAAGCACTTTGGCGCTGGAGGACGAGTTTGCATTTCAGATGTGCTATGGACATCAGCATCATCTTACCATTTCTGTCCTCAAAATTCCTTTCCAAAGGAAGTAGCCCTCCTCATCGGAGCCTATGATCTCAATGCAGCATGTTTTTTTTCTCTGCCGTTTCCCCAGAAGCATGATGCTTTCTGTGACATTTTTTCCCCCCCAGATTCTGCCCTCATCGTGTCTCCACTCATTAATGTGGGGTATGTTTATGGATCTAATTCTCCACAGGTTCTAAGGCCGGAGCAACTCTGTTGGAGTTAAAACAAACACTCGCTTGCTTCAGTCATGTGAGCTCTGGTCAAACTTGGGTAAACTTAAAAGTTAACCAAGACTTGTTCAGGCTTTGATAGTTGAACTGTATTTGAATGGATTTTATCAGATTTTCCCAAATGATTCACCTCCAGGCTAAAAAGTGAACAGAAGGCAAATCTGTGATTCACAAAGAGAGGCAGCAGCACCACAGGGGCTGCAGGGCAGGCTCCATCCATCCATGGCTGGCACCATTTGCATGGCACCAAGGGCGGGTGGTTTGGGGACACATGGCAGCCATGGCTCACATGTCCCTAGCCCTGCCACGTGCCAGATTTCCACTATTTTTTTTTTTTCTAGGAGGGGGAAGATTACACAGCCTCGTGTATCTTCTGGCTCTGTTCATTTTTTTTTTTGCTTGGACAAAGGCAAAGTTAGTCAAGTGGGTCTCATATTTATTAAAGGAATTTTACTTGTTCACTAGATTGGCAGCAGTGTGAAGCATAGAGGATGCAAGCCCAGTGGACGTTTTTATTTTAACAATGGAAATATGCAATCTGTCTCAGGAAAATACAGCTGCTGAACAAATTAACTTGTGTTGAATGCTTATTGGGGGTCTACAACTCATTCTTTTGTTCTTCCTGTTCAGCAACTGTGTTTTTCTGACCAAGACATAATAGATCGTGGCTCTGAAGAGCCTTTCAATGGACGATCTCCAAGTACTCGACAAACATTAGTGATTTGCTTGGAAAAGACTAAACCTTACCATAAATCCAGAGGATATTACCTAGAGTGCAGGGTGAAAAGTACATTGCAGCTACCAGAGCGTTGCAGAATGGTGTGTTTAATAGGACTGACACATACCAGGGGATGTGCTCTGATGGGGCGTCTGCTGTCAAGCTGTGACATTGATTCTTTCATTTACTAAGGCATTAAGAGGATATAATAACAAGGTCTTAATTCTTTTTCCAAATTAAGGTGCTTGCGTGCAAGCAAGCATCCAGATCACTTCATGGCATTGTACCCAAGCCCTGGCTCCCACCCAGGTCTCTGCTGGCATGTCCCTCTTCTGCTCCTATAGGAAGCAGCCCACCCCACTGACCAGCTGGGAATGTCCCTGACACATGGCTGTTTGCTGGGTAACCTGAGATTGCTAAATGCTGTTGTGTTGCAAAGCTTTCCCCTGGCCAAGCAATGAAGCATGTCAAAAGTGCCTGCATATTCACTATTAAGAGAGTTTGAGCTGTAGCCTCTCCATGCTGTGTCTCATCTGGATTGCAGTCTGCAGGCAATGTGTGAAGCTAATTAGGAAAGCCTTGGTGCTGCGGTGATTTAAGTAGGAGCTGGAGACTTCTCTGCCTGAATTAGGGACTTGCCTGGAGATTACTTGCTCCTTGTCTTTTTTGTCTTTACTCAAAAGCCACAGAATGCACAGCTGACACTGCCCTGTATCTGCCTTTGGCCTGCAGTTTTTAGACCCCATTGCTGTTATGCTATTCCTTTCAACCACCGTTCCAAACCAAAGTTACAGAATTTCAGTATGAAATCAAGTATTTGCTCAAATGTAGGTGCTTTCACATAAGAGTTCTGTGTTTGGAGTTAGACTGGAGCTAGAGCTGCAGAACTAATACTCCACATTCATTTCTCTCAAATTCTCAGAGGGGGAAAAAATGTAACCTTCTGTATTTAGAACTATCCATACAACTTCCTTACTGGTGAAAGCAGCAACCTTCCTTTCTGCTGTCCAAGGCAACAGGATCCTTAAATATACAGTCCTGAAAATACCACAGAAGAATCACTTTGGGAATGCTCCCTTGTAAAAACATTTCTGAATTATGAGAGTGTTGGATCAAAGCGCGTGCTCTTTTAGACCCAGCTATGAATTAATTGGTAATGTGATTTTGTTATGCAGATATGGGAAGTCTGCATGCATCACCTATGTTGTCCCAGGTCCAAACCAAGCCCGTAACAGCTGTTTCATATGGTGCTGGCATAACCCAGCGGAGCAGTGGGAGGAGAGTGGGGCAGCATTGGGAGCAAAGCACTGGGTGCAGCCCCTGAAAGAAACAGAAAACTTCAGCTCTATGAGGGATTTACATAATGCCAGGAAAAGCGATTTAAATGCAAATAGCCTGGTAGGATTGTTAGAAATTTTGCAGTAGCTCTGGCAGCCAGGTGTAGCATACAGAGAAAGGGAGCTAAACAAATGTTTCCTTCCTTCTGCGAGTTCATTTATTCACAGCCCAGGTTCACTTCTTTGGCAGGTGTATTTTCCCCTTCATCTTCAAACAGAAAAAAACCAAAACAAAACCAAACAAAAGGAGGCTGCCTGCCTCCTCCTTCCCAAATGCACTCTTTACATTATAGCAAAGCACTCACCCACCTGCAGGCAGATTTCCATGCAAAATATATTATTGAATTTGCCATCAGGTTCTATGAGGTGATGCAGACACCAGCATTTTAAGATCATTTCTTTTCCAGCTCTCTCCTCAGATCATTTGAGACACACAGATACTGGGGAAATAGGTTTTTAACACCAATCCTTCCCAAGCAAGATTAAACTCAAGATTTAGTTTAGTGGAGAGGTGGAGATTCTGTGGAGGCAGCTACTACCCTCAAGTGGAAAGCAAGGCTGATCTGGTATGACTGAAGCACTGCTGCTCCTGGAGATACAGCTCCCTACTGGCTGCCCTTTGGCTGTGCAAAGACTTTGCCATGGTTGTTTATAACTCCTAAGGGCAAACTCTGGCTGAGTTGAATGCCAGAGGCCTCTGTTGTTGGTTAGCATCAGCTCAAGTCTGTTTCAACTTTTGTGAAATAAGGCTGCTAATCTTTTCTACAAATCTGCAAGGCACTGTTAGTTTGTTGCTGGTATTGTTGCTGGTACAGTTGTGATCTTGTGATAGATCATTAAAAAAGAAGACAGACAATATTATACAACTTGTGTTAATTAGTTCCCATTCGCTGTCAGAGCTGCGCTAGGTGTTCTGCTGCCTTCAGGTTGCAGAGGATACTCCTGGGTGGACGCAGATTGCGGAGAGTTGGCATGAATCCCACTACAGCAAAAGTTTTGTCTGCTAACTTACTGTCTTCATTACACTGCAAATGTATTGGTTCTCTTGGGAGATCATACGTTTAGGAATTTGCTGTGTCTCCTTTGCATCTAGAGCTTTTTCCCCCAGAACAAAGCAACAAGGAATTTCTAAATCAAAAGAGCAGGATCTATTTTCCTTGTTTGTCTCCCAAAACCTATGCAAGTTTCAAGAGCTGTGTCAGGCGGAGAGGAAATGCACATCTTCAGAGCGAAAGCCATGTAGCATCTGTTCAAACTTCTGTCAGCAAAAACAAACTGTGTTCTACAGACAGGCTATCTGATTTATCCAGGACAGCCCTTATCAAGAGCACAGGCAGCCTACATTTGTAGTGTTGTATTTTGGGACTTAGGAAGGAGTCTGGTCAGCCTGTCTGCTCATTGACCATGTGTCAGCAGTGCAAGGGCTGGTGGTGGTGAAGTGGCTGTGAGCATATTGAGCACATCTCCCCTTGCCATTAGGGTTTCACACTAATGGGTAGCAGACTTTTTCCTCGCACAATTTTGCAAATGCTTGCTTATGCAGGGACCTGCATCCCAACTGTCTGGTAGACAATTTAGATTGGAATGCAGGAATGCAGGAAGGCTCATAAACAGCCAGCAAGCCTGAGCTGGTTTGGCTGTACTCAGAATGGTGACTGTCTGGTCACTGTCTCTAATGAGGTCTCAGTTTGGCTTCTGAAGAAACCTCAATATGAGGAATGTGTTCAGCTTGGGCAAGAAGCCAGGTAATGCCATGGCTGTGCCTTCTCTGCACAGCATCCCTGGCTGCCTTTGTTAGAGCTCCAGGTCTTACCCTGTTTCCTCCATGTGATTGTCCTGCTCTAGAACAGCAAGATTATTATTATTGCTATTGGTTTTGTATGGACTCTTCAGATTTTTTTTTTCCCCATCTGAAATATCCTTCTCCAGACTCAGCAGTTTGCTTCCTGAACTTCATATCAGTGGCTCCAGCTGAATCTACTTGGTTCAGGGAAGTATGTGAAGGTGTCTTAAGATAAGGAGTTAAACCTCCACCTCACTGATGACTGCATTTGGACATTCCTGCAGCCTTGGCAGTCCTCCGAGTCTCCTATCCTTCCTCATAGGTCTCAGCCTGAGCTTTCCCTGCCAGTCCTACTGCGCCCATAGGACTGGAAAAGTATCCACGTGATATGCAATATAATATGTGAGCACTAATCTAATCTAGCAATTATCTCCACTTGTGAGGGCAGATGAGATTATGCACTACCAGAAAGGTCATAACACCAGAGATCAGCCATCATGTGGTGTTTGCACACACTGATTGTTGTTTTATTGCTGGGTACTAAGGCACAACAGTAAGACTTATCGTGAAGCTGATGTGATTATAGGTATCTATCCCTATTGTAATTGGATTTCTCCTGGTAGCAGAGGAATGTTTGTGAAGGAATCCACGCTTGACGCTGCACTTCTGTATGCTCCGTGCAGTCTATACACTCTCTTTGATCTCCAGTGAAACCATGCTTCTAAGGAGAGTAGGTTGACCTTTGCTAGCTCTCAGATTTAAACAGTCAGCCAATGATCTCATGTAAAGTCTTCAGGCAAGAAGATCAGAAAATCTTGCAGAAAGAAGATGGGAGCGTGAGATTTGAGCGTGTTCTGTGGGATTTTGTACTGCTCAGTGTGTGTGACTGGGCCTTTTCCCTGAGCAAGGGAGACTTACTTTTCTTAGTGATGATCGTTATAAATGTTATACACCCAAATCTACATAAATAGCCAGGAGACTGTTAAGTGAACTCTAAAACACCATACTGTGTGAAAAATGACCTCGTATTAGAAAAAAAAAAAACCTACATAAAAGAAAAAATGAGTTGTGAAATATTATTCAAGTACAAATCACTGAATAGGCAACTAACCATCCTAGGAGAAAGGTCTTCCCACCATGCTGAGAGAACTTCTATGGGTATAGTGCTGCTGGCTGAGAACAAATAGAACTATAGGATCCTTATAAAGCGACAGTAACTTGTAACAAAGGATGTTGTGCTACTCCTAACCCAGATCTTGCAGTCAAACATAGTCTAATACTTTGTTTGGTTTCATTTTCTTCTCTCAAGTTTATTGCTGCTTGCTTCAGACAGGTTAATCAATACTCTGAGGACTATTTTTGGATTCAGTGACAAGCTGACTACACCCTCAAGGCAAAGAGAAAAGTTTCCAGGTCTCTTTCAGCCCTCGAACAGCTTTGAGAACAGCTTTGTAGGAGAGGGAAGGTGACACCTTTCAGTAGCACAATATTTTTAACCTTGGTTTGCTGCTGCGAGAGGCTCAGGTTTTGAAATGTGTCACCGATGGTGGAGGAACATGACTGAGGCTGCCATTATATTGGAGGAAATAGTTTTAAAGCCTCACAGTATCAGATGATTCCATGTGTGTCCAAAGTACTGTGCCTCCCTGTGCTGTGCTTCTGCCTCAACACTGACAACTCTGCACTTGCTTTTGTTTTTAACGTCTACCTGTTTGCTTAGCTGGGATTTGAACAGATCACTGCATCCTTGTGCTAATTGCAGTTTAATAATTAGTGCCTATCAAAATGCTGCCTTTCAACTGCCATTCAATTTGCTCCTTGCTTGCCAAATAATTTCACCTTTCCCTTGCTGCAGCCACTGTGCTCAAGGGTGACAGGGTTAGCATTTCTTAATTTCACATCCAGATCTCTCTCTGTCCTACACATTAACCTCTCAGTGGTTTCAGTTTTACTCCCCAAGCTAAAAGACACAAATTGCACTCAATGTGCTTGCAGAGAGCAAAAAAAAAAAAAAAAAGCCTGCAGTTACAGTGATCCCACTGCCATTATGTTCAGATGCACAGCTAGTCCTCCAGCAGCTGAAACATATGGGAGGTGGCAGCAGGCAGGTCAGTGCTATTGTGGGTAGCAGAGATCTAGCTAGCTTTAATGTATTTTTGGAGAACCAAATACGTGAGAAGCTATAGGCAGCCTGTTCTCTCATCCCAGGATTCTAGGTAGCTGAGATGTAAGAAAGTCGTCAGGAAATCCAGTTCCTTAACTCTGACCCCAGTGATCAAATTGATTGGTAAAAACTAGAATTATGTGGCACTTAATCTAGTGACTTGGTGGCCATGTGGACTGTACAGCTGACCATTACCATCTATTTGTTGGTACTGTGGTTCATACGCTGCGGCGTATGACAAGATGCAGTTGTTCCTGAATGGCACAGTGTACTGAGGAGAGAAAACAGATTTGCTTGCATTAAAAATCACAGATCAGAAGGAAGATGAAATTTGGTCTGAACAATTTTTGTGGATTTCTGTTACATTTCATTAAACTATAAGCCTATGACAGTCAAAAGTAGAAGTGCTACAAATCGGGATCTACGCAATGTAAGCTTTGAGCACCTTTGTCTCTTTTTGCTAGAAGCCGTTTATCTGTTTCTCTTCATTTTACTTGATTCAATCTGTACAAGCAGCCCTGCATTGTCAGTGATGCTGCAAAGCCCATTCCTACTTCCAGCAGTGGATCAATAAACATTTGCCTCTCACTGCTTCCTGCCCATCCACTGATTTGTCCTCCAGAACTGGAGAAGTCAGGGCTTCTCCCCAGGGCTGCCCTCAGCTGTGTCTCTGCCCAGGCAATGATAAACATCAAGGAAAGCTGCAAAGAGGTCCTGTGCTGTCGCTTTCTGTACAGCTTGGAGGTTAAAAAAAGATTAAAAAGATGCTCCAGCAGTCATTAAAAAAAAAAAAAAAAAGAGTGTTTAATGTTGTTGCAGCAGTAATAGAAGTGTGTTGGATACAGTGCCAAGAACTGCACAGTGCCCGAGGCTGTACCTCCTGTTGACCTGAAGTCAACTGAGCCAAGGAACTTTTACAGTTACCAACAGATCCATTGCTGGTGGGCT